TCAGGGGGCACTTGGGTTATGGCTTCAAGGCGCACTCTAACACTTAAGTCAATTGAGGGTTTGAGATGGAGTAAGGAAGGAAGGAATGAGGGAGATGGTGATGTGTGCATGGGAAGCTTGAATGTGTGTAGTATGGGAGTGTCTCATGTACTTGAGTTTCCTTATTACCTTAGGTATGAGATGATGGATATTTATAAAACCAAGATAATTGACAGTTGATGAGATATATACGTGGAGTTTGAGAAAGTTCTACGCAGGTAACTATAAATTGCAATTAATGATTTATTTTGGACAAAGCATGGATTACATTTAATGGTCTCAAGTAAATTGAAAGTTAGATAATCAATTCTGAAGTGATTACTTTGATGGGACATGAGTAGGATGTTGGGTGAATCCTTCTTTTAGTGGAGGGTGAGCTGTTTCCTTAGGCACAAATGACGTAACGATCTAGACATGCCTTATTTGACCGATCTAAGAATCCAAGTTTTGACCAAATTGATCATTTACCGACTTAGGCGTAACAAGAAATTACCGAAAAAGGATGCAATAAGGACAAGCATCTTACCACAACAATGGGGAAATCAGTGGAGTTCCCTTTCAGTTTCAGAGTTTGCATGGCGTGGGTGTGAATTAGTTGTTTTGAAAGAAACAAGTGGTCTTATGCGATATTTGACCCTCGAGGAAATTTGGGAGTTGGGGCGTCTTAAAATTTTTGGAGCAAACCTTGAAAACATGAAAGGTGGTTCCAGCTTTGGAACTATTCCACAAGTACCGAGCATCAATAGTACCTTGAAGCCAATCGAAATTCCAGGACTAGATGAGATACTAGATGAGGCAAGGATTGCTTACGGTTTGATGGCCACTATTAGGACTCTCCGGCTCTTGAGAGACAATCTTTCTCTTCTCGCTTTCTGGACTGCTTTTCCCAAGTGCTTGCTTTTATTCTTTAATTATTTTTAACAATCAAGATTAACAATATATTTTCTTTGAAGTGCTTAACACGGAGGTTTCCGAACTGGAGGAAACTTGGTGAGTTAATTTCCAATAAAACAATTTCAATATTTTTTTTTAAATTCATTTATGATTGCAATTTGGGTAATTAAACGGTGGTTGATATTGCTTGCTGCAGGTTCGATGTACTGAAATCATATGGTTTAGCACGTCGTTCCAGGGGAATCTGAAACCATTAAACCTTTCCTTCGGAAAACTTGAATCAGCGTCAGTTAAAGTACACTACCCACATGGGAATACTACTGGAGTATATGGAGTTGCTACTTCATCGTTCCCCAGTTCTCAAGACAATGGGATTTACATATGATAGTGAGGTGGAAATTATATACTGAGAGCTTCGGAAAATGCTTTTGAGGTTGAAGAAAGCAGCTTTACCTCTAGTCAAGCTTCCCTACAAAACCACAAACCCTCCCATGTCCTATAACTTTTAGTTATTAAATCTCTATCATTTTTCATAACCAATGCTACTATACTGTAATTTAGTTTGTTTTAATGATTTATTAATTTCATAAATACTCATATATTAGCTTTCTCGATTAAAACTATGATTATTAACAAAATTTAATTACATTATAAAACTAATATATTTTAAAATATGAATATTTTCAAAACTTTTAGAGAAATATTTACTCATTGTAATAAAAAAAATTGTCGAAATTGATTGAGTGGTAAGAATTGAATATTTTATTTGTAAAGTTTAGATTCAATTTCTACTCTAATATTGAAAATTGATGTATATATAATTAAGATCAAAAACAATTATTAGGGAAGCATTAAACATGTCAGTAGTAAACATAAAAATTGCAATCTTACAATAATTAAGATTAGATTAATCAAACTCGTATTTATTATTAATTTTTTAGTTAATCAATTCATATTTATCGATTAAAGTTGACGTCTACCAATGTGTTATGATCCCCAAATATTAATAAGTCTCAAAGTGGTTTGATAAACCTTTTCGTACAGTCTTACCTCATAATCAATCCCTTCATATATATAATATCTCGCTTAGATATAAAGCTTGGTTTAATGTTTACTCTATATAAGTTTTAACATTTTAGTTCTTGAACCTTAGTTATTAATGCGTATTAGAAGACAAGAAAATCTTTATTAATAACTTGAGAAAATATTATATAGTGGTATCCTATTTATTATACAAAGGATTCTCACTAATTAAGAAAAAATATTATAAAATATATAAGCTAATGTTATCGTAATCTTATATATTACTATAATTATAATATTATATTTTTTAATATTATATTTGATTGTATAATTATATAATGTTATAATATATTACATTAATATATTTAAGCGGTATTGTAAGTAGTAGCTTGAGTTCGTTGATTAAATTTTGAAAGTGACTAGAAAAAAATGTCTTGAAAAAAAATACAATCAATTTGATTTGAAGAAGATACAGAAATCAGATTAATATTTTCTTGTGCCACATGATGGCATATAAAATAACAATTAATCTCAATATATTTGGTGCGTTTATAAAACATCCCGCTATTTCCAATATGGATAGCTCTGTTATTACCACAGGGAAGTCTGGTGGCAGAGGATGGTAGGATAACTCTATCTTTTAAAAAATGTCGAAGCCAAAGTAATTTTGAAGTGGCATCAACAAAAGCATAATATTCTGATTCGGTTCTAGATTGAGTAACTATAATTTATTTCTTGCTTAGCCAAGAAATGAGGGAATCTCCCAAAAAGAAGTGATAAATTAAGTGATAAAAATGACGGTTTGTAGGATCCCAAGCATAGTCAGCATTAAAATACCTAGATAAAATTAAGGAAGTGTAAGCAAAAAAATGAAATCCATTAAATAATGTGGCTTTAACATAGTGAATAATCCGGAGAATAGCTGAGAAATGAGTTGAATCAGTAGCAGCCATAAATTGGCTACTAGACGATCAACATAAGCAAAATCAAGTCGAGTTACGATGAGATATTCTAAACTGCCAACGATTTGGTGATATAAAGTAGTATCAGATGCATACTTGGCCTGAGAAAGATATTACCCATCAGAGTTAGAGGATACTTCAAACCCAAAAAATGACATAGAGAGCCCAAGATCCTTCATTTCAAATCGTTGATGAAGAAACTGTTTTAATTCAATAATGCAAGACTGACCATCACTAGTAACATCCACTTTGAGAAAAAGAACAATGCAATGAGTAGCATATCGAACGAATAATACTGTCATAAGGGCAGGAGGTAAAACCAAGCTAAGCAATATTTGAACTGAATTTTGCAAATCAAGCTCTTGGTGCCAATTTCAAATCATATAAAACTCGCTGAAGTTTACAAACCTAGCAAAGAGGATGGGAATACTTAGGTGGAGGCAACATATATACTTCTTGAAGATCATCTTTAAAATATACATTTTTGATATATCTGAAAAAGTTCTTAATACTTGAAAGCAATAGCTTTTTAAACAGTGGAATACATGCATTTATTGAATACATTTTATTTTGATTTTTGTAAAAAGAATTTCCATTGGTTGAATAAGAGAAAATCTTTGATAGCCAGCACTGGCAGTTCTGCTCAATAGCCACTTGTATTAATTCCTTTTAATTTGTTTGTTTACTTATTCGCAAGTGATATTGATCTAAATCTTGGACCCTCTGTTCATTTTCATCTTTAGCTGTCGCCTATCCCACGTTATATATATATATATATATATATATATGGTAGGACTATTCCGCATACTGTTCATACAGCCTCTCAATTTTATGCCATTTGCCTCTTTTCATTGGTTATCTAATAAGTTCTATTCTTGATTTTATAGATGATGGGGTAAAGTTAAAAAATGAAGATAGAAGCTTTTACCAGCATCTGGAGGGAAGATAAAAAAAAAACGTACAATGGAGGTTAAGCCAAAGCCATTCCTTCATCTTTCGCTGTTCATTATGGATGGGTGGCCAAATTCGTTGGTTTGTTAACAAGCTGGGGGAATTAACGACAATGTAGAAAGTAAAGGAAGTGAAGAAAAAAGGTACCCTGATCAAACAGGAGATGTCAATAGGATCGGAGACGAGATTTATGAAGTAGATGTTGTAGGCAACCAAAAAAATCCAACAGCCAAGAATAACCCACAGTAAACATGGGTCAAAAGTACTTGGGAAGATGATATTATTGATTGGAAACTCTTCTCCTTGTCGTCCATTATTTTTGTTTTGTTGCATTCCTTTTTTTTCCTTTTTTATCTAATTGGACGATTTTGATACTTGGATTTGCGATGTACCGCGCTTTGAATGTGCCCAATTTGTTTGGCTGAATTTTTTGTTTTGGAGGAATCCGAAATTTTATTTTAAGAAAAGGGAATAAAATCAGAAAGAAGAGAGGTCATTAACCGGCGGCAACATGATGGATGTCACAGGTTATGCTTTCTTTCAATGAAGTAATAGATCGTGCGGTACTTGAATAGACGCTTCCACCAAAGTCAGCCAAGGATAGATCAATATCTGAACAAGCAACCAAGAAGTCATAAGTCAATCTCAACCATATACAATGAAATATTGGGACAAAATGGGAGTACACCAAGGTGACCTTAGCGTTCTCATATACAAAAAAAATATTTTATTAATATCAAGAATAGTACATTGAACCTTCCCACCATCATCGGACCAGAGGGGCAGCGCTAAATGGGTGATCTAGTACATACCTTAACCAGTGAGACAACCTAACAATATGTCGACTGCTCACCCCCTCTAAAGAGCAAATGAGATTTTATAACTGTCCTACCTATAATCATTACAATGCTTGAAATAGAGACACTTTTCCTAGCACATGAGATCTACCATTCCCTTGGCACCTCTACCTAGTCATGGCCCTATACATGGGTGGCTCATGACAACTTATGCCCAGTTATGACCCTATACAAAGTTGACTCATGACATCCTCCCCTACCTATTCTATTGACATCCTCGTCGACTTGTTGGCCTAGAATTACGCTTGAATGCTCAGAGGTCATGATCTCTTTCCTAGTTGGTTTTCTTTGGTCCTAAGCTTTCCCACTTCACTAAATATTCATGAATTATTCTTCGAGATATCCTGGATACTCTGTCAGCTAAAATCTCTTCAACTTGATGTTCTGATGGTAGCTTTATGATGATTGCAGCCCTAGTTGACTCCCTATGGCTTGCATTTGTGGGATCTGCAAGGAAAGGTTTTAAATTGCTCACATGAAACACTGGATGCACCTTCATCCATTTTGGTGGGTCAATTTTGTAATAAGCATTCCCTATCTTAGAAAGGATCTTCACTGGACTCTTATATTTACGGACCAACCTACTTCTTGCTTCTTTAAGAACCTAGTTTGTTCGGGCACTAGTATGACAAGAACAAGATCACCAACTTTGAATTGCTATACCCTTCGACCCTTATTTGCCCACTTCTTCATGATCTTTGATGCTTTCTTCAAGTATGCTTGTGCAATTTTTGTATTTTGTCTCCATTCTTTGCTAAGGTTGAATGCTCGTGGATTTTTCCCTCCATATGATTCAAGGGATGTATGTGGTAGTCTTGGTAGTTGTCCTGTGACCACTTCAAATGGACTTGTTTGTGGAAGAACACTTGTTGAAATTAAAACAAAGCTGAGCTACATCTAACAATGAAGGCCAATTCTTCTGATTAGCTTGAATAAAATGTCTCAAGTACTCTTCCAACAATCCATTAAATCGTTCAATTTGACCATCGGTTTACGGGTGATAACTTAAAGAGATGTTAAGTTGGGATCCCAAGATCTTGAAAAGTTCTCTTGAAAATGACCCAATGAATCTTGGATCCCTATCATTGACAATGCTTTAAGGAAGGCCCCAATACTTAATTACATGTTTAAACATTAGCTAGGCTGTGTCTTCCGTAATATAATACTTTTGGATAGGATTGAACATGGCATATTTCGAGAAGTGGTCAATCACCACCAGAATAGGCCCAAAATCACCAACTTTGGGAAGATCTGATATGAAGTCAAGGGAGATACTTTCTCAAGGTCTAGTAGGCATAGGTAGTGGTTCAAGCAAGCCTACTGGTTTTTTCCTTTCAACTTTATCCTATTGGCAAATGAGATAAGTCTTAGTATAGTCCATCACATCTTACTGCATATGAGGCCAATAATAGCCTTGTTCAGTGGAGCCAAAGTACGTTGCCAACTAGGATGACCCGTCTATGGTGTGTCATGGCATTCTCTCATTAACATCTATCTCAGAGCTCATGTTTTTAACATGAACAATTGAAGACCCTTTGTCAATAAGACCTCATTTTTCCTGCCAAAAGTATTTTGATTTTCCTTCTTTTACTAGCTTCAAAATGGTATTGGCCTGCGGATCTTTCTTCAGATTATCTTTAATTTGCTTGCGAATATCTATTATGACTTTACTAGTTGTCATTGTGGTTATTCTTCTAAGGGCAACCAACTTGGCTTATCTACTCAATGCATATGCCACTTGATTGGTTCTTTTAGCTATGTGCTCGAAACAAAATTCAAATTCGACTAAAAATTCTTGCCATCTAGCTTGTTTAGTCGTAAGCCTTGACTAAGTGAAAAAATGACTAACTACCGCATTGTCTGTCTTCACGACAAATTATGAACCCAACAAATAATGTCGCCATGCTCTTAGATAATGAATTATTGCTAGGAGTTCCTTCTCTTGAGCCATATATCTCCTTTTAGCTTCACTCAACTTTTGATTTCAAAGGCTATCGAGTGTCATTTTTGTAAAAGTACTCCCCCAATAGCAAAATCAGATGCATCCATTTGAACTTCAAAAGGCTTCGCAATGTTAGGGACAACCAAGATAGGGTCTTTTATCATAGCTTCTTTTAATCTTTCAAAAGTCTTTTAACATTCACTTATCCAACACCATTTATGCTTATTTTTCAATATCTCTATTAGGGCCATGAATCTATGAGAGTAGCCTTCCATAAATTTTCTATGATAATTGGTTAATCCTAAAAATGAGTGAAGTTCACTGACATTCTTTGGTGTTGCCCACTCCTTGATAACCTTAACTTTTTCCATGTCTATTCAAATGTGGCCTTGTTCAACAATGTGGCCTAAGAAGTGGATTTGTGTCTAAGCAAATGCATATTTCTTTCTTTTAACATACAGATGGTGGTCTTGTAGTCTTTGAAACATAAGACATAGGTGCTCTTGATGCTCTTCAAGGGTAGAACTATAAACTACTATATCATCTAAATAAATGATCACATACTTGTCAAGGTAGTCATGGAAGACCTGATTCATCAAGGTACAAAATGTGGCAAGAGGGATTAGTCAATCCAAAAGGCATAACAAGAAATTCAAATGCATCATACTGCATTACACATGTGGTCTTTGGCTTATCTCATTCCGTAATTATGACCTGATGATAGCCAAATCTTAAGTCCAATTTGGAGAAGTACTTGGCTTGGCTTAGTTGATCAAATAAATTCGCAATAAGTGGGATGGAATATTTGTTCCTCATAGTGACTTTGTTCAAGGCCCTATAGTCCTCACACAATCGTAAACTCCTATCATGCTTTCTTTGAAATAGTACAAGTGCTACAAATGGTGTTTTTGATAGTCTAATGAACCTGGCTTGTAAAAGCTCATCTAATTATTTTTTCAATTTAGCCAACTTGGGCAGAGCCATGCGATAAGAAGCTTTAGCTGGTGGCTTGACTCCTGAAAGAAGCTCAATCTCATGGGCCACTAATCTTCGAAGAGGTAGGACCTTGGGCAATTGCTCTGGCATCACACTCTCAAATTCTTTCAATACCTTTTTCACCTTGTCAGGTACCTCTTCCAACTTAATCCCTATTTTGTAGATTGGCATAACCACATAGGAGGGCTCCATTCTCTTTACCCTTTTCTTAAATTGTAAGGCTAAAATCATTTTCTTCCCATTCTTAGGAAGGATCATGGCTCGTACAACACACGGGCATTTTCCCAAGAATAATAGACAATTAGCAGCAGGGATTAGGATTGCTTGAGCCAACATCATGAAGTCCAATCCCAGAACAACATCAAAGTCATCCATGAAGGAGACCGTGAAGTCTACATTTCCTTCCTAATGCCCCAACTTGGTCGTCACACTCTTGGAGCTCCCACTGATTGCAAATGCTGACGAATTAACCACTTTCATTTGTCCATAATCCTTATTAACCTTAAGACCACACCTTTTTACTTTTTTTTTGTGTGATGAAGGTATCGGTTACCCCCGTATCTACCATGGCCTTTGTGTTTTTCCCATTTACTATCAGGTCCACATATATCAGAACTCTTTTAGTTTCTTTTTTTATCATGTTTAGTTGGGTACTAAGGGCATTAAAGAATCGTATTGAGCCCAACCTGGCTGGCTCTTCTGCAACTTCTTCGATTGTCTCAGGCACTTTAGTAGACTCTTGAGATGAGACTCTCAAAGCATTAAAGGCATCTCTATGTGGGCATTCATCCACCCGATACGGCCCCTAGCATAGAAAGTAAGCTAGCGGTTGCCTCAATTTGAAAATTGATGCGATGTTTGCCTTGGGTTGGGTATTGTCTCGACCAAAAGGCCTTCTATCAAATCTCCCACTAACAGGTCGGTCCACTCTAGCCATTTTTCCCTCATTCCCAAAGTTAAAGTTATTGCCACCTGATGAAGGATTCTTTCATTTTGAGGGACCATCGTTAAAATCGTGAAGACGTTCGACAGCAGCCATAGTCGTAGCCACATTTTGCCCCTTCTGTCTTTGTAATTCTATCCTGGCCCAAGGTTTGAGGCCCTCAAAGAAATATAACATCTTGTCCTTTTCAGACATATCTTTAATGTCCAACATCAGGGTAGAAAAGCTCCTTACAAACTCCCACACCATTCCCATTTGCACCAATTCTCGAAGCTTCCTTCGAGTTATATACTCTACATTCTTAAGGCAGAATTGGTTCTTTAACTCTTGCTTAAAATCTGCCCAAGTTTTAATAGGGCATTCATCATTTACAAATTTTGAATGCCACCATAACTTGGCATCACCGTTAAGGTACATTGAAGCCATTGCAACCTTATTCTCCTCTGATTCTATGTGCACAGCTCAAAAGTATTGTTCTATGTCAAACAAGAAGTTCTCAAGCTCTTTAGCATCTCTTTCCCCCTCATAATGTCTAGGCTCTGGCACCTTGGCCCTTTTCCCTTTTTCCATCGAACTAGAATCTAACCTGGCCACAGCCATTCGCATAACACTTACTTGGGCCATGAATTCCTCAAACTCTCTTTGGAGAACATTCAAAGCATCTTTGGTCTCTTCGCCCAAGTTATGTAGAATATCGAACAACTCTCGTTGGGTTGTCTCGATCTCTTTCAATTGATCATTAGTTACCACATGAGCTTTTAGGGCAACCACTGCAGCCTCAAGCTCCTTAATCTTTTGTTGGTCACTAAATCCACTACTCATTGCCATTTTATCAATTCTTTCTAGCACTTCTCAACCGTGCTCTGATACCACATGTCATGGGCTATGCTTTCTCTCAATGAGGTAATAGATTGTGTGACACTTGAATGTACGCTTCCACCTAAGTCAGCTAAGAATAGTTCGATATCTGAACAAGCAACTAAGAAGCCATAAGTCAATCTCAAGCATACACAACAAAATATCATAACAAAATAAGAGTACACCAAGGTGACCTTGACGTTCCTGTATATAAAAAAAATATTTTATTAATATAAAAAATAGTACATTGAACCTTCCCACTATCGTCGTGCCAAAAAGACAGCCTTAAATGAGTGATTTAGCACATATCTTAACCAGTGAAGCCGCCTAACAATACGTTGATTGCTCACCCCCTTTAAAAAGCAAATTAGATTTTATAGTTATCCTACCTATAACCGTTACAATGCTTGAAATGTGGACATTTTTTCTAACACATGAGATCTATCCTCCCCATTTGTACTTCTACCTAGTCATAGCTCGTAGCTCATGACAACCTATGCCCAATTATAACTTTATACAAGGTTAGCTCATGATATCGGAGCTAAATCAAAGAGAGACAAATAGATAGTTTTAGGAAAGGTGAATGAAAAAATTAAAAAATAAAGAAGAAAACAACACAGTGCGGGTGCAAAGAAATAAAAAAAAAAAAAAAAAGGAAGGAAAAAAAGGGCATTTTAATTGATTATTATCTTTCATATTTTTAAAGTTACTTTTTTTGCTGCTTTGCATAAAATTGATTGTTATTTTTAGGTAATAAAAAATTTTAATTTTTAATCATCTAAAAAATATTTATATAAATATACAAAGGTAAAACTTCTCTTTATTATACAATATCGTGAAAATGGTCTCTTTAATTTTAATTTTCCTTTGACACGTGACTTTTCTATTTGTTTCGTAATTACTTGACAATTGACATTTTAATTACTGGTGTTGGGTTAAGTTTGTTGGTTTATTTTTAACTTAAAAATTTAGTTGCTTTCTAGATAGTAATTAGTGGGCTTTGATTGTGTCAATAAATGAGTTTAGATTTGGTAATTAATTAATATTGATAATGGATAAATACTCTGTGGTTGGATAGACTTATTACGTATATATTTCTGGATTTGAATTTAATTAAGCAAATAAAACAATTGGATTCTAAAAATCTCATGTAAGAAAAAACATATGTAATTGAGATAAAGAAAGAAAAATTCACATTTGGTTCTTCACTCTTCAGAAAATTTAGCTCAAAAAAGTTGTTATGATTTGGTTTTGTGATGCTTAAAGCACATTTTTTTTAGGTTTGATTTGATAATTCTTCTTTTTATTTTTCGGGAGAATTTTGCTATAATTTGTCATATTTTTTCTCTTTTGTGTTTTCTCTCCTTTTGGTCCTATTAGTTCTTTTTATTTTTTGATACTTTTTTCACTGATTCAATTTTTTTCATAGTTGCTTGCCTCATGTTTTTATTATCTTTGTTAGTATTTTTTGTAAAAAAATTCATCCATGTTTTTTTGTTTTTAATTTTTATATAAAAATTATATATATTTATTATTAAGTTCAAAACTCAGACACTTATATTTCATTAAAACAAAAGAAATTTGTAACCTAGCCAAAATATTTTCTAATTGGTATAAAGCAAATCACAAGTTAAGAATAAAATGAAGAATTAAAGGTGATAAAATTTGAATCTCAAACTTGCTAAATGACATTTAACTGAATGAAATAACTTAACTAAAATTCTAATTATGAATGTGCGTTTGTGTGTATATATATATATATATATATATATATATATTTCATAACTACCATATTAAAACATTAGGGGTTAGTCCTGAAGTACTCATTTGGTATTTGGTAGGACACCACTTCTCTGTACTTTCTCTCAGTTGTATGCTATCAGCAGTATTACTTGACAGAAGCTTGATTGTGGTGCAAAAAAAAGAGAAAAATAAACCAATAAAGGGTAAAAGGGAAGTTGTGGTGTTCAATTAATCTCCATTCAAGCTCGCCAGCTTCGTCAGCTCTATATGCTGATCCTGTATCCGACTCATAATTCGTGAAAAATCTCCTTCAGCCATAGACATTGTATCTTCTTTTGCAAGGCGCCTCTGCTTTACCTTCAGTATAGCCTGTGTTACTTCACCAATTGAGGGCCGCTTTCTTGGTAATTTCTGCAAGCATTTATGAGCAATTTTGGCTAGCCCCCTTACTTCTTCAATGTTGCATTCTCCAACCAGTCGCTTATCAAGTATTTCATCGACACCATCTGGACCCATGGCAGCCTGAGAAAGGAAGTTTATATCAGAACGATCAATATATGAATTACTAACAAGGAGGATTTTACCACATAGGGGGAAGAAACTCACAAGATTAACATATTCCATCAAGTTTTGATGTGGGTGGATGGCTGTAATTAGCTCAAAGATGATAACCCCGAAACTGTATATGTCACTCTTCATTGTGAACTTGTTTGTGGATATGTACTCTGGGTCTATGTAACCATATGTACCTTTGACGCCAGAGTTTCGGCCATCAAAAACCTCTTCCTTTGACAGCCCAAAGTCAGCAACCTAGCAAAAGGAGCAGTCGTAAAGCCATGCTGTTTGGTCCATTATCATTATCTTGATTGTATTGGTAACTAAAAAGAGAGGAACAGAAAAAGATGAGCAGTTATACGTTTGCTAACCTTGGCTCTCATTGACTGGTCTAATAGTATATTAGCGGACTTTAAATCACGATGTATTACTGGAGGGACTGCCTGTTCCAAGAATAGCAATATTAAGTCAATGACTAGCTTTTTTTTTTTTTCTTAACCATGGAGAACATCATCTTTGTATCATTCCATCATACCCCTTCATGAAGATATTCTATGCCATGTGAAATATCAAGAGCAATTTGAAGTCTCTCTTCCCAACTCAAGCCCCGTTCGCCTTCACCTGAGTGCATATAGACCAAGTTGATTATCATTAAGGAATCACAATAATAGTAAAACAGTGCCATTTAGGGTCCAAATAACACACTAAAATCTGGATAAATTCAAAAGAATGGTTGCAGGAAATATTTATCCGCATCTAACTTACTGAAACAAAAGTATGCTAATACTTTAATCTGTCCAGAAAAGTGGCCTCATTATTGAGAAACACGCTGAAGAAAGAAGCTAGTTGGCCTTCAATTTGCATAATTTGACATACAAATGGCACTACTCAGAGGCCTCTAGTAAGGCTTACTAGCAGAATATCTAATATCAATGGACTAATAACATCCTGGCATTAGCATATAGGTCTTACAGGGTTATGTAAACATCAGATAGTCCCATGCTCCCATTTTCCTCATGTCTAGAGGAGTGTTTGAGAACATTAATAGAGACTTTGGTTTACCAGTTAAAAAGACTAACCGCAGGTTAGACCAATGGCATTGGTGCTAGATTACCAACTACTGGAACTAACAGTGAGCATTTCAAAGCATGAAATAGAAGTTTTGAACAACAAATAAATTCCCTCTTCCTTTTTTTTTTATGTGTATGTGTGTGCATGTGTGTGTCCAAAAGCATCAAATTGGTTATAAAATGTCAATCAAGAAATGTTCTTTAACATAAATTGGCATGTTCCAGCCACACATGAAGAATATCAGATGAGAAATGCAAAAAAAAAGTGGTTTTTGTGCTTACCATACAGAATGTTTGCCAAACTTCCATTGCTCATGAACTCATAAATTAACATGTGCTTTCCTTTATCCACGCAATATCCTACCAAGTTCACAAGATTTCGATGATGCAGCCTTCCTAGTAGACAAACCTGAAAAAAATTGGGTTTAATAATAAAAATAACATGATAGGTTGATTGTTAAAAGTAAAATACGTAAAATATTCTCAAAAGAAATTTCATTCCACCCATTGGAAGAATGAAGTTGCAACCTCAGCAGCTGTCTAGATAGAACTATTGGTGGATGATAAAAGATATATGAGAATCAAAATGCAGGTTGCAGCTGTTATGTTATGAATCATCCTCTATTTCTCCCACATGCATGGCCTACTCAAAGATATTCCGTCATACATTAATGGATCTTTGCTGAAAATACTTTCAAATTCATACAAGATAAAATCAGAACAAATTTTTTTAATAGATATATACCAGTCCCACATATAGTCAGATCAACAAAGGCAAGTACCGTTAAGATTAAAATCATGCTGGAAACTACCTATTCCAAAATTGTTGGAAGACCTCTTTCTTACATGGTTATTGCAGCTTACCTCTGTGTGGAACTCTTTCTCCCCCTGATGAGAATTGGCAGCAAGCACCTTTACAGCTGCAACTCCACCAGTAGGCATTGTGGCTTTATAGACTGGACCAAATGATCCTTCTCCTAAAATAGTTGTGAAATTTTCTGTAGCTTTCTGAACATCCCTGAAAAGCATAACAAATAAGATAAACACAGTATCAGAATAAATAAAATAAATGCTCATTTTGGAAATAAACATTGAACATTAATCCTTTAGCTCAATTAGGAACATGATATTGGGTTTGTAGCAACAGAAACAGGTCAAGTCCATAGCCCCTTTATAAAAGGTGTAGAGGGAAGTCATAATTACCATGAGTTATCTTCCAACTAAAGTAAGTAAAATAAAATTTAGAAAGAGAGCTATGCTGAAATTCGTTGGTTACTTTCTAACATAATAGGAGATTGGAATTTGGTAAGCCTCCAAACATGAATTGGTTATTCAAGCATAACACTTGTGCTCAATTTAGAAATTAACTTACTTATAGGAATACTTTGGCAAGCCGGAAGCAGAAGCAAAGCGATCTTTACTATGAAGACTCCACCAAGAATTCGAAGAACTTTTTTGATGGTGTTCTGGTACCTGAATAGCTATAGAATTCGAGAGAGATGCACTGAAGTCATTGCTTGTACCCAAGCCATTAGTTCTTATAGGAAGAACTGTAACATTACGTTCATTTGAATTTTGTCTCAGGTGTACATGCTTTTTGTACCACCTTATCCCAAAAAATAGCAGCGAAGCTATCAAGATACCAAGAGCCAAGCCAACAGAGATGCCAATGACAACAAAATCTCCCTTATGAACCATGCTTTGGTCTCCTTAGGTATTCAGGCGATGAGAACATCTTGCAGTGCACAAATTCTGCAGGCTCCCTGCCATAAGATGGATAAATTATTATGTTTATTTTAAAGTAATCAAACAATAAGAAGTTTATTGGGGAACTGAAAAATGTCATTTCATATTAGCAAGCCTAATGATAGCCCTGATTCTCTTGAAGGACAGGCAGGCAGAAGGGAAGCCCACATCAAATGCCGAAAGTTTGTCGTTTTACTGGAAGTTTAACCAGGTTCACCAAAAAGGGGAATCAAGGAACAGTTATATTTTCAGCAACAAAGCATACAATCAAGCAAGTTACCATTCTTACTTCCAAAAACCAATTTTTTGAGGTATTAGAAAGACATCAAATTGGATATTATTACTTGCAACAAATTTGAAAGGCACCCTGGCTCTGTTTTCCATTGTCCAGAGATTTAGTTCAACCCTTCTAGTTATATAAATTTCTGGACAGAATCAGTCAAACATTTTCAACCATCAGCCACTACAAATCTGGCAATGCGAAAAAAATTTCAAAGAGTAAACCTTTAATTCAAAGCCTCGTTTTGCCTCAACAAGCCGTGGTTTTTCATATATTACACTGCCAAATCATTATTCCTAGTTTCTATAACATACTAATTCTCCGGAACATAAGTTCATAAATCAGAATATATAAACATAGATCATGAAAACTCATTCAGATATTAAATGGGTTCTATCAAATTTCCTATATAATAAAGCCCCAATAACCAATCAATGATTAAAAAAAATTGAAACCCAAGAGCTAAAACCAACCAAAAAGAAGAAAAAGAAGGAATTTTTAGGCAAAAGAAACAGAAAACAGCAAAGTGGCCAAGAACCCATACCTTACGAAAAGATGATCAGTAAGTGAACAGCCAAAACATGATAAGTCCTTCTAATGGATTTTGATATTTGATGATCTTTTGATTAGAAAAGGCTCAAGAGCTGACAAAAGTCATGACCACTTCAACTAAAATGAAAAACAAAAAACTGTAGAGAAAGACAAAAAGAGAGAAGGAGTCTTTGTTGGAGGCCTTGATATTAAAAATGGAAAATTATGAAAATTTCGTGGTAGACCAATTTAAAAAAAAAAAAAAATGCTGTTCAGCCGGTAAAACTTTGTTTACTTGGCTGCTTAGTGATAAATCCGCCTTCTACAGTGCTTCTATTGGTATTTGATTTTTGGAGTTTAAGCTATAAAAATATCATTGTTGGGATGCTTTGTTCATATTTGTTGTTCTTTTATACATTTATTTTATTATTATGGAAGGGATAAGAAGGGGTTAGTGAAAGAGACAGATATTGCAATTCTATTCTTTTGTATCAACACCAAGAATGAAATAGAATTAACCAGGGATTAACTAAATTTTTAAGTTGATTCAATAAATAGTCTTAAAATTTGAGTGTTATTAATAAATGTTGAGTTTTCCTTAAAATATAATGAGTTAATTTCGAATGCATAATATTTTTTTATAAAAAATACAAAATATTTTATCTTATTTACTTCAAGAATTTTTAGAGCAGAAACATGAAACAACACAAACTTTTTATTGCTCTAGGTTAGGATAAACTTGTAAAATACTATAAAATGAAGGGAAAAAAATTAAAAGAAAAAAAGTTCTATAATTCTCAATTATCATGAAAATCGACGCAAACTTTTTATTACTTTAGACTGAGAAACTTTTTGAGGAATTTTTTATTAAAAATTATTGCACTAGGTAGTGCTTCTAATTATTCTCCTAATCTTTTGTGTTAAATGTTCATTAAAATGTAAAACCTTTCTTGTTCGTTGCTAATGACTTTAAGATTTTTTCCCTTTAAAAAATTATAGTTTATTTTCCTAGTTAATCAAAGTTTCAATAACAGTATCTCTTTTGTCTTAATTTCTAATTTTTTTTATATAATACGGTGAGGAATATGTCAAGTTTTGTTAAAGTTTAGTATTTTTTTTTTAAATGCACTCACTTATATCAACATATTACATTTGAAATTTTACTCTAATAACTTTCCTCAGAAAAATTTTTTTTTTTGATGAATCAGTAAATATTGAATACTTTATTTGTGAAGGTTAAATTTAACTTTTATTTTCAATAATCTTTTTTATGGACTATATATAATTCAGGTATGAGATATACTCTAATTTTGAAATGAAATAAATTTTTTATTTAATTTTTTAAAGAAATTATAAGTGCAAGTTATAATTACTATAAGTACTATATTAATATATAATGATAATGGAATAATCAAATAAATAAACTAATCAATAAACTAAAATATAATTAAATAAATTCAATGTAAAATTAAACCAAACCCATATTATAAAACTTAAAATTAAGATAAAAAAATAATTTATTTCCTTTTAAACTAAAGTATCCCATACGGATTCTTATCCTCTTTTTCCTTACTGATCTCTAACTTTGTCCAGAATATGCCCGTCAAAGCCGTCCCTTACGGTTATTGCCACGTTTACCATGTTCTCAAATTTAAATATCCAATAAATTATTTCTATTAATTTTTTGGAAAAAGAAATCCTCTTGATTTATTACTATATAGTTTCTCCAATAGTCTTTGAAATTGACTAGTGTGATTAAATTTAACGATTGAATTATCTTTTCGTTTTCCTAGCAAATTTCAAGATGAAATTTTACAATTTGTCATTCACTTTACATGAAATCAGTTTATCACATTGTTCATCACTTGACAGAAAATGACAACAGCCAATCCAATTGGACCAAGGGGATCCTCTATCCCCTTCCCTTTTTCTGTTTGTAATAGATATTCTGTCAAGGAGTTTAAACTATAGAATTGAGCCCAAAAAGTTAACTGGAGTCAAGTAAGGATTGTCCTATTTTATCTCATGTTTTGTTTGCAGATGATTCTTTGTTTTTCCTAGAAGCTACAAGGGAGAACTGTAATGAGTTCCTAAGCGCAATGAACCAGTATTGTAGAGCTTCAGGGCAACAGATTAACCTAAGCAAATCCAGTCTTATTTTCAGCTCGAATATGCCGGTAGAGATCAAACAAGAGATGGTGGACAGGCTGAAGATACAAATGGCAGATAATCCTGGGACGTATCTGGGGATACCTTCATGTTGGGGAAGACAGAGACAGAAACAATGAGATTTATAAAGGATAAAATTGTGGGAAAGATGAAAGCATAGAAGCAGAATCTTTGGTCCCAAGGAGAAAGAAAAGTGTTAATAAAGGCTGTTGCCAGTGCCATTCCAATCCATACAATGCAATGCTTTAAAGTACCAAAGAAAGTATGTGAAGAAGTTAATGCAGCCATGGCAAATTTTTGGTGGGCGCAACGACAAGAAGAGAAGAGGATACATTGGATAAGTTGGCCAAATCTGAAAACAAGAAAAGGAAAAGGGGGAATGGGGTTCAAGGATTCGAGCGCAATGAATAAAGCTTTATTGGGCAAGCAATGTTGGAGGATAATGGTTGATCAGGATGCATTATGGGTAAGAATATTAAAGGGAATATATTTCCCAAAATCTCGTTGTGGGAGGTAAAAAAAGGAGCAAGGGCATCTTGGATATGAGCAAGATTAATGGGAGGGAGGAAGGTATTGAAGGAAAATGTAACATGGCAAGTGTTAGGAGGAGAGGAAGTGAACATTTGGAGAGATAGGTGGATACCTGGGTTTGAGCTCAAGCAACCTGATGAAGAAGAAATTCAAAGAACAAGATTCCCTATAAGAGTATCAGAAATCATTGATAGGGAAAAGGAAGGATGGAGGTTGGATTCCATTAGAGGGAAAATAACTATAGAGGAGGCAGTAGCCATAGAAACAATTCCTATATGCCAGGAAGGGGGAAAAGAAAGAATCATATGGTCTAGTAATATAAATGGAGAATATTCAGTAAAAGTAGGATACCATGTACTAAAGAAGGGGGAAGAGAAGAAAAAGGAGTGCAAACCTTCAGCATCTCATGTTATAAGGATGAAATTTGGAAGATAATATGGAAATTGCCAGTTCCCAAAATATACAAAATTTTATGTGGAGAGCCTGTACTAATTCAGTTGCAACTGCTCAGAACCTATGGAGGTGAAAGGTAAGGAAAGTCCTTTATGCCAAATATGCAATGCTGAGCTTGAAACTATTGAGCATTCGTTGATTCTGTGTGAATGGACAGTGGTTGTGTGGTTTGGAATAGATATAGGATATAGGGTGGATAGGGATAGAGTAAAGACAATTGATTCTTGGTCAGGGATTTTTTTGAAAATAAGCAGTTGGGGAAGGACAGGAAGAGACTAGAAATGATAATTGCCCATACCTGTTGGTTAATCTGGAAAGAGAGATGCAGTGCTATTTTCCAGAATAAAAAGCCAGAATCAATGGAAGTGATAAGGAAAAGAAAAAGAGCGGTGGGGAAAAGGGAGAGCATATTGGAAGGAAAGAAGATAATAAGGTGGAGAAAGAGGGGTGGTAGAAACCAGGGAAATGATGGGTCAAAGTAAACTGCGATACAGCTTACAATGAAAAGAGCAAAAATGCTGGGATAGGCGTGGTTACAAGAAAATCTGAAGGAGAATTGGAGAAAGGAAGTATTAGTGCATGATGCGGTAGAGGCTGAAGCATTAGCTGTGAAAGAGGGAGTGGTACAGGCTAGTAAAATTGTGGAAACAGATTCTAAAATTGTGTACGTTGGACTGAGGCAGAAGGAAAGCATGAGAAACTGGCGAATAGTCCCAATGGTAAAAGATATAGAAAGAATGAAGGGGAAATTTGAGGGATTCAAAGTTAATTGGATCAGCAGGACTGCAAATGCAGCAGCGGATTGGGTTGCACACCAATTCAACAGGAAATGAGCACGTCAAACTGGTTAACCAACCACCATTTTCCTTGGTGAACATTTTAAGCAGAAATGGTTCGCCGGCACTACCCTGACCAACTGGGAAATAGATGGAACTAAATGTTTAGAGTGATCTGTTCCTGGGGATTACTCAAAAAATACTTAGGTTCTTTGAATATCAGATGTGGTAAAGAATGTGTGAAAGTAAATGTAAACATGAGCAGTTTGTAAATGATTACAGAAGAAATGATATATTCTTTGATTGATTGGCCCAAAAAAAATCCAATTGGACCAATTATTCCAAAATTTACATATTACTTTCTAAGTTATTTTAAATGTATTTTGATAAGTTTTACTGAAAACTCACATTAATAGTAATATTACAAATAATGTAATTATATATAAATATACATCTTATATAAATATATACAAACTAAAACTTCTAACAAAAAATAAAATAATTGATATGAATAGTTTATATTTTTGACATATGTATAACATAAAAAATTGACACGTGTTCAAAATTAATTATGCATTTCAAATTTAAAAATTAGAATTTAATGGTAAAATAAATTTAATTTAAAATAACTTATTTTCATTATTATAAAACACATTCAATGATTCTTAATAACATTTTATTTTTAAATGATTAATTGACTAAAATAAATTAAGAATCAAATTAAGAGTAATAGTATATTAAATTGAGAGTAGTTTATGCTTACAATAGTCAAGTATAATATGTATTCAATATGCTTGAGAGAAATGAAAAAAAATTAAAATTAATGTAATAATGATAATAAAATTAAATTTTTATTAAATGATAGTTTTTATACATTCCATAAATTGTTCTCATTACTTCCATTTTTAGTTTTTAGTCAACTTATTATAATAAATATTAAATACCTTGAACACCTTGTTAATCTTATATCTTATCTTATACAAATATATAAAAATCAAAAGTTTTCAACAAAAAAGAAAATATTTAATGTGGATATTCTATTTTTACACGTGTAAAATCATAAATAAACGTCATGTATCATCTAATAAATGTATTTTATTTTATTTTATTCATTTTTAATTTAAAAAAATTAATATGCTTAATTTGATTCATTTGTAATGTAAAAAAAGTAAATTTATGTAATTTAGATTATTATATTTATTCTCTTTTAAATATTTATTACTTTTATTTTATATAAATAAGTTTCAATTTAGTTTGTATCAAAGTTAATTATTTTTTTTACCTTAAATTACTCTCAATTAAATTTTATTTTAAATTTTTCACACCAATTTTAACATTATACATAGGAATATGTTTTTGTCCGTTAGAAATAATAGTATTGGCCATTTGTTTATGTTCCATTTCTCTTTTTTCTTT